TTTCCCTTAAAAGCTTGTCCCGCCACCTAGCTTATAATAAGTTACTTGCCTTGTGTGTGTGTGTGTGTGTGTGTGTGTGTGTGTGTGTGTGTGTGTGTGTGTGTGTGTATGTGTGTGTGTGTGTGTGTGTGTGTGTGTGTGTGTGTGTGTGTGTGTTTGTTTGTGTGGTGTGTATATTTGTGTGTGTGTGCGTTTGTGTGTGTGTGTGTTTGTGTGCGTGTGTGTGTGTGTGTGTTTGTTTGTGTGTGTGTGTATATATATATGTGTGTGTGTGTGTGTGTGTGTGTGTACTCACCTAGTTGTACTCACCTAGTTGAGGTTGCAGGGGTCGAGTCCATGCTCCTGGCCCCGCCTCTTCACTGATCGCTACTAGGTCACTCTCTCTGAACCGTGAGCTTTGTCATACCTCTGCTTAAAGCTATGTATGGATTCTGCCTTCACTACATCGCTTCCCAAACTATTCCACTTCGTGACTACTCTGTGGCTGAAGAAATACTTCCTAACATCTTTGTGATTCATCTGTGTCTTCAACTTCCAACTGTGTCCACTTGTTGCTGTGTCCAATCTCTGGAACATCCTGTCTTTGTCCACCTTGTCAATTCCTCTCAGTATTTTGTATGTCGTTATCATGTCCCCCCCTATCTCTCCTGTCCTCCAGTGTCGTCAGATTGATTTCCCTTAACCTCTCCTCGTAGGACATACCTCTTAGCTCTGGGACTAGTCTTGTTGCAAACCTTTGCACTTTCTCTAGTTTCTTTACGTGCTTGGCTAGGTGTGGGTTCCAAACTGGTGCCGCATACTCCAATATGGGCCTAACGTACACGGTGTACAGGGTCCTGAATGATTCCTTATTAAGATGTCGGAATGCTGTTCTGAGGTTTGCTAGGCGCCCATATGCTGCAGCAGTTATTTGGTTGATGTGCGCTTCAGGAGATGTGCCTGGTGTTATACTCACCCCAAGATCTTTTTCCTTGAGCGAGGTTTGTAGTCTCTGGCCCCCCTAGACTGTACTCCGTCTGCGGTCTTCTTTGCCCTTCCTCAATCTTCATGACTTTGCACTTGGTGGGGTTGAACTCCAGGAGCTAATTGCTGGACTAGGTCTGCAGCCTGTCCAGATCCCTTTGTCGTTCTGCCTGGTCTTCGATCGAATGAATTCTTCTCATCAACTTCACGTCATCTGCAAACAGGGACACTTCGGAGTCTATTCCTTCCGTCATGTCGTTCACAAATACCAGAAACAGCACTGGTCCCAGGACTGACTCCTGTGGGACCCCGCTGGTCACAGGTGCCCACTCTGACACCTCGCCACGTACCATGACTCGCTGCTGTCTTCCTGACAAGTATTCCCTGATCCATTGTAGTGCCTTCCCTGTTATCCCTGCTTGGTCCTCCAGTTTTTGCACTAATCTCTTGTGTGGAACTGTGTCAAACGCCTTCTATCTTTAAACAATATTTTATTAAAATCAGCAGCAAGTTGAGATTGAATATAGAAGCATCTCTGGAGGAGTTCACTAAAATAACAATTGTAAATTGTAATGCAGATGTGATGTGATACAGAGACGAGGTAGCAGCTGAAGGCAGGAAAGGTGGGTAATGGTGTGTCCTGCCGGTGCCATCAGTGAATCGTTCTGTCCAAGGCTGAGTGAAGGGGAAGGCTCGTCTGTGATGACAGAAACACAGGAAGCCTCTCCTCATTGTTGAACTCTCAAGTTTTTTTTCTTATTAATTCTGTTTGTAAATTAATTAGACCTAATGTAAATTTATTTATATATCGTCATTTATGCCCGGCCTTGTTGGTTACTAATAGATGTAATTCTTTAATCTTGTTTTAAACGAATTTGCTGATATTCCTGTGGAATATTATCTTAAAATGGTTCTATGTACATGATTTTAATTTTTAGGTTGTTTCATTTTAGGTCAATATTGTCATGAAATAGGAAGACTTTTCGCCAGTCGGTGGCTTTATCAGTTGAATATAAATATTATTAGTTGAAGACAATAGAAGACTAGGTGATCATTCCCTCGGTCTTGAAGAAAGCGTTTACCACCTTGGTCTTTATGAATCTAATCCCAGGCAGAAAGATGAGTGCTTATAAAGAGTCAGATGAGGTGAAGCATTTGAAGGCATCATCAGCAGTGGACGGCACCCACCTCTGGAAGTAGGTCACGCCCAGGAGCTGGACCAGAGGTTAGTAAACAGGTTGCAGAAGTAACCTCTGTATACATTAATGTTATGATAATTGCCTGACACAACAACACAATGGAAATCTTGGTACATTTGACATCTTCTGCTACCTGTTTGCTAACCTCTGGTCCAACACTGAATAGAGGATCCCTCTTCCACTTCAACTCTGGCCCAACACTGAACAGAGGATCCCTCTTCCACTTCAACTCTGGCCCAACACTGAATAGAGGATCCCTCTTCCACTTCAACTCTGGCCCAACACTGAACAGAGGATCCCTCTTCCACTTCAACTCTGGCCCAACACTGAATAGAGGATCCCTCTTCCACTTCAACTCTGGTCCAACACTGAATAGAGGATCCCTCTTCCACTTCAACTCTGGCCCAACACTGAACAGAGGATCCCTCTTCCACTTCAACTCTGGCCCAACACTGAATAGAGGATCCCTCTTCCACTTCAACTCTGGCCCAACACTGAACAGAGGATCCCTCTTCCACTTCAACTCTGGCCCAACACTGAATAGAGGATCCCTCTTCCACTTCAACTCTGGTCCAACACTGAATAGAGGATCCCTCTTCCACTTCAACTCTGGCCCAACACTGAACAGAGGATCCCTCTTCCACTTCAACTCTGGCCCAACACTGAACAGAGGATCCCTCTTCCACTTCAACTCTGGTCCAACACTGAATAGAGGATCCCTCTTCCACTTCAACTCTGGTCCAACACTGAACAGAGGATCCCTCTTCCACTTCAACTCTGGTCCAACACTGAATAGAGGATCCCTCTTCCACTTCAACTCTGGTCCAACACTGAATAGAGGATCCCTCTTCCACTTCAACTCTGGCCCAACACTGAACAGAGGATCCCTCTTCCACTTCAACTCTGGCCCAACACTGAATAGAGGATCCCTCTTCCACTTCAACTCTGGTCCAACACTGAACAGAGGATCCCTCTTCCACTTCAACTCTGGTCCAACACTGAACAGAGGATCCCTCTTCCACTTCAACTCTGGCCCAACACTGAACAGAGGATCCCTCTTCCACTTCAACTTCGCCTCATCTTACTCCTGAACATAAATTCATCATCTTGTCTATATTTAAGAGTCATCAAGAGTAAGGTAGTGAACACCTTTAAGGTCGAGAGATTACAATAATTGCTTTATCATTTACTGTGTCCACCTTCAACTTCAAGGGCGAAGGACTTACTACCTCACATTGTACTGTCTTCAACTAATAACCACGAAACTAATAAAGTCACTGGTTGGCGGAGAGTATCAGAATAAAGATACTCATATCTTCCAGGTGTGTCTAATTAACTCCCTGATGGGATACCTGTAAGAAATTACCTGCATTATTTCTTTTTACTTTCTTTCTATAACTTTTAATTTTATTTCACATTATTATTATTATAATCAAAAAGAAGGGCTAAGCCACAAGGGCTATACAGCATTTTATTTCACAAGTAACTGGAAAACGCCGCAGATTTTACCATTTATTATTTAAATTAATGTAATTTTCAATTTACCTCTACTGAATGGCTTCAATATTTAATGTCTGAGGCATCATAGTACCGGGATAATACCCATGGGAGCTGCAGAGCTGCAGTCCCCCCTGGTATTCAGTGCCAGACGTACCTATTCAGTTTCAATTTCCTGTTGGCAACCCCTCAAGGAAGGTTCCTTGATGTTGGTGAGGGGCTCTTGATTTAGGGAATTGGATCTGTGCTCCAGTTCCCCGAATTAAGCCTGAATGCCTTCCACATCCCCCCCCCCAGGCGCTGTATAATCCTCCGGGTTTAGCGCTTCCCCCTTGATTATAATAATAATAATAATAATCCTGTTGGCATATTTGTTTTGTAGTAAAATATTAAACAAAATTAAAATCGTTGGAATATTTGCCATAACTGGAGAATGACTCATCTGATCGTCTTCAAATTCTAATTCTGGTGTATGTGGTAATTTGGCAGTTTCTCTTTCTTTTGCCAATTTGATCAAATTGTAATTTTTAAATAAGAGATATTTTTTTTTTCCATACAAGACTGAAGTTAATTTTAACAATAATGTAAATGAGAAAACAAATAAAGAAAATGCAATGCAACGAGGGGAGACTTTTCTAAATTTTGGAACATCCCAGAAATGTTTCCCTATGATTCCTCGCAAATTTTCCTGTAATACTTGAGAATGACATATTGAAAAGACTAGCCAAATGTTTGCTAAGTTTCTCTTTACCAAAATCTTTTTTGATAAATTAGACACATGTGCAACTCTTTGGTATCTTTATTGAGGAAACGTTTCGCCACACAGTGGCTTCATCAGTCCATACAAAGGATAAACTTGAAGAACAGGAGGAGAGTGAGGTAATCAGTCCCTCAGCCTTGAGTCGATGTAGTCAGTCCATCAATCTTGAATAAAATACGGCATAGGAGCGGAGAAGGAGCTTATAAACCGTATGGCAGGAGAGGAGCAGCAGTCATAGGTGGTGTAACATTTGTCCAATGTTGAAGTAGGTCGTGCCCAAGGGTCAGGTAAGCGAAGAATTCCCAAGTATTAAGATCCCAAGAAGTTGCAGTGTCTGACAGGATTGTATATCAATGGTTCACAGAACCGAACCATTCATCGACAATATCATTTTTTTTTTGGTGTGACACGGGTTAGCTTAAGAGACAACACAATAAGTATCAGGGGCCCGAGACTGTTCAACTGCCTCCCAGCATACATAAGGGGGATTACCAATAGACTCCTGGCTGTCATCAAACAGGCACTGGACAAGCACCTAAAGTCGGTACCTGACCGGCCGGGCTGTGGCTCGTACGTTGGATTGCGTGCAGCCAGCCGTAACAGCTTGTTTGATCAGGCTCTGATCCACCATGAGGTCTGGTCACAGACCGGTCCGCGGGGGCGTTGACCCCCGGAACTCTCTCCAGGTAAACTGTCAAATGATCACAAAATACGATTTGATTTTGGTTTAAAAAAACTTCCACACCTATAATACAAAACGTTTTATTAAGAAACACAAAGATTATTGCATAATTTATGCCTACATACTTCTTCATTTAAATGAAGCTTTTTATCTAGACAGTAACAGTCTAATGAGAGCAGTTTGGTGAGGGCTGAATATTATGGTGTGTGAAGCAGTTATGGAGCTGCTGTGGAGGCGTGAATCCAGGGAAGGTAACTGATCACGTCAACGTAGACGCCAGGGATGCCGGCGAGGGCGCAGCCAACACCCCAGGACACTAGACCAGCAAGTTGGAACCTGCCCTCAGGTCCCTGGCAAACTAAGGGGCCGCCACCGTCACCCTGTGAGAAGATAAACAAAGCAATGAGAGTAGATAGTAATACATTCTAGCGTTTATTAACTTTTGATAATGAAAGTAGGGCAGTTCGGCGTAATTGTATTGGGGTTTTTGTGGGTTTCCGCTAAGAGGTTAACCTTACTCACACAGTGTGTAACAAGATTGTCTTCTACAGTTAAATTTGCACGACAATCAAGTCTGGGCCCTGTCGAGTGAGAGCCAAAATTTCCATCAGTGTGGCTAGCAAAGTTAAACATTTTTTTTTTAGGTGGGTCAAAATATGTCGTAGAGTAAATGTGTTAGTGAGGAAGGGAGAGTCTCGTCGTTAAGGAGTAAGAGGAGTCTCACCTTGCAGGTGTCACGACCTTGTTCACCACCAGAGAGTAAGAGGAGTCTCACCTTGCAGGTGTCACGACCTTGTTCACCACCAGAGAGTAAGAGGAGTCTCACCTTGCAGGTGTCACGACCTTGTTCACCACCAGAGAGTAAGAGGAGTCTCACCTTGCAGGTGTCACGACCTTGTTCACCACCAGAGAGTAAGAGTGTCTCACCTTGCAGGTGTCACGACCTTGTTCACCACCAGAGAGTAAGAGTGTCTCACCTTGCAGGTGTCACGACCTTGTTCACCACCAGAGAGTAAGAGGAGTCTCACCTTGCAGGTGTCACGACCTTGTTCACCACCAGAGAGTAAGAGTGTCTCACCTTGCAGGTGTCACGACCTTGTTCACCACCAGCACACAACATGCCCTGGTGGAGGGTGAAGCTGGCTCCCAGACGAGTGTGCCTGAGAGCTTCTTGGCACTGGTGGTGGCCCACCACAGGCAACTCCACCTCCTGCAGTATACTCTGGTATCTGCCCTGGTTGCCGAAGGCATCCTTACCCCAGCCAGTAGAGTGACATCGCTGACCCACGAAACTGTTGTAGCTGTCTGGCAGACAGACGGGCGAGATGTGTGGGCTGTGGGAAGAGTGTGATATGTTAGTAATTTTCTCAAAAAAAACTGCTAATATTTATGCTCAGAGTTTACAATGATTATAAATTAAAGACAAGAGTCTATGTTTTTTTTTTCAGACGTTTTAAATTAATATAAGGTGGTTTTAATTTAAATGATTTAACTTAAATAATTTAATTTAAATTATTTTGTTTTGTATTATAGTATATTAATAGTTCCCAAGATCAATAATATTGCCAGGAACATAACTTACTTGGATGAGAAGTCGAGGTAACCTTGCATCCTAATGAGTGCGATATCATTTTGAAGGTTTCCAGCATAGTACTCCGGGTGGACAGTCAAGAACTCTGCCTTGAGTTCCACGTGACTATAGAACTCGACAGGTCCACTTACATCCCACTCACCAAGCCGGAGCTTCAGCTCAAGAGGGTTCAATCTACAGAAAGAAAACACGATTAAAAATATGATTAGTTACTCACTACTTTCCTTATTCTTCGAATGTGAAGAGAAAAATATATTTAATTCGTTAGTGACATTGAATATATACCTTGTGAATTATTGTTGGTTATGAAAAGAAGTGAATCAACAGCAACGGGTAACGATGGTATTGCTTAAAAGAACACTGTATTGACTAACCCGTCAACACAATGAGCGACGGTGAGAACGTGACGATCATCAATGAGAGCTCCGCCACACACGTACTCGTCAGAATATTTGAGGATGGCCACGTGCCAGGGATATTCCCCGAAATCTGTCTCCCCCTTCACGTGATGTGGGGTTTTGACGCGAGCTAGCACCCCGCCAGAGTGCCGGCGGCCGCAGGTGTATTTCGGTGGTGCTGGAAACTGTGGGTTGCGACAACATACGTAGGCTGCACCACAACCTACTCTCCCCGGGAAGTAACTCAATGTTCGCTGGAAGGTTTCGCAAAATGCAGGTGAAAATATTCAATTCATAATTTAAATTTATATTATTTAAAGTGTTATTATGCACGTCAATAATATGCTAATCATCTAATTCTCAACATATCTACATTAACATAAAATATTTCATAAGATTACTTACTCCTTGAGCGTCGAAGGTGGCATTTTGAGGTATATCTGGATGGTCAAGAGTTTCTCTTCGGACTCTTGTATCACTGTGTGAGTCATTAATAGATAAAATTTTTGCCAGACGAGCAGAGCTGTTGTTGTTAACATCTTCAGGGGCCACTGTGGTTGTTACGTTGTCTTCGACATCTGTAGCATTAGAAAAAATTTCCGAACCCTTGTTTCGAGCGTCGATGAGATTCCTGATATCACTGGGATGGCTCCTGGCCACGACATCATATATGGGGCAGTAAGAAGCATGCACACACTGACATTCTTCACGGTAAGCTTGCAACTCTGGGCGGTAAATTGCATTCTGCTCGATAAAAGCGGGCTGGATGCCTCCAATATTTACAGGACCAGAAATGGCAGCAGGGCGTCCCCCGTTGTTATGGTGGATGTGTGTGTGTTCATGGTGATGCTGTACCACGGTGGGTGAGTGGTGTATTTTCTGTTGGAATGCTGGGTTTGGCGGTACCGAGAAGTGTTGTTGTGGTATGGGTTGAGGGGGCACCATGAAGGGACGAAGGCCAGAGATCGATCCCTGGACCGGGGAAGGAAATGGGCCTGGAACTGGAACACTGGCATAAGTACTGACGGGGATAGTGTTGGTGTTAACCAGGGGAGTCTTCTTATTGCACTGGAAAGGAAATTGACAAAGATTACTAACTGAACTGCGATTTAAGAAGTAAGAAATCCTCCTATTTCCTTTGTCACTTTCTTGTTGCATTCTGCCGCAGAACTAGTGTGAGGAGTAAACAGCGAAGGCAAAAGAAAACCCAAGGTCACTTACATTAATGCCAATCCCAATGGAGCACAGCTTCTGAGAGAGACCCAAAAGCCTCGGTTGCCGGTCCTCCTCGACGGCATCCTGGCTGCTGGTATTCGGAGGAGAGTGAGACTCCAGAGGAAGAGGCAGCGACACATTGGGTATGTCGGGGAGGGGTAGAGATCCACTGGCGGTGTTGGAGAGGGGTGGTCCAGACGCAAGAGGGACAGGGTTGGTGTCGCGTCCCCAAGACCAGTCCTCAGCGACCACTCCAACAAGTAAACACACCGTCACGCTCAAACCTGTCGGGCGCGTGTATATATATATATATATATATATATATATATATATATATATATATATATATATATATATATATATATATATATATATATATATATATATATATAATATATATATATATATACATACATGTATAGTATGGAGAAGTATAGTTGTTTGGCTTTCTATATTAATTTGGTGAGAACTGTTGAATAGTGTTTAAGAATATCTTTGTGTATTAAGCCCTGTCTATATTGCTTTTCATATTGGTGTTTCTTATCAATGGATTTCAGAATGGTGCTGGTTAGCCATGGGCAACCAAGCCGTTTATTCGTGATCTGTTTTGTTTTTATAGGACAATGTTTGTTGTATAGTCTAAGTATTTTGTTAAGAAAAATGTCTGTCAAGTCGTCAGTACCATTGACATTGGAGAATTCTGTAGGCCAGCCAACAGTCTCTAGGTCAGCTGTGAACTTCCTTATTGAGGCCTCGTCATGGAGTCTAAATGAGACTTTGTTGTATTCAAGTGGTGGTTTATTAATGTTTGTCAGGAGGAAGGTAGGGTAGTGGTCTGTAGTGATTTAAGGGGGGCTAGTATATTGGTCCATATGTGGTCTATTATGGTTGCACTTGTCTCAGTGAGCCTGGTTGGTTTAGTTATTGTTGGTATGAGAAGTGTGTTGTTCATATTGTTGATGAAATCAGTTACAGGCTGATCATCTAGTAAGCCAAGATTGATGTTGAAGTCTCCAGCTAAGAGAAGGTGGTGCTTATTCATTTGTCTGTTATTAGTGACTTTAGATTCTCAATGAAGTGATAAGATAAGATTTCGTTTGGATTTTTAACCCCGGGGGGTTAGCCACCCAGGATAACCCAAGAAAGTCAGTGCGTCATCGAGGACTGTCTAACTTATTTCCATTGGGGTCCGTAATCTTGTCCCCCAGGATGCGACCCACACCAGTCGACTAACACCCAGGTACCTATTTGCTGCTAGGTGAACAGGACAATAGGTGTAAGGAAACGTGTCGAAATGTTTCCACCCGCCGGGAATCGAACCCGGGCCCTCCGTGTGTGAAGCGGGAGCTTTAGCCACCAGGCCACCGGGTCACCTGATGTGTGGGATGTTTGTGTGGGGTATCCAGTATATGGCACCGATTGTTATAGGCGTCTTGAGGTTTTTTACAGTAAAATTAGCAAAAATGTATTCCCCATATTCATCACTAAAGCAAGTGGTGCTAATACAAGATAGTTGGTTAGCGTAATAGATTGCAATACCACCCCCAACTTAGTATGGTCTGCAGTTGTGGATTGCTGTGTATCCTGGTAGTGGGTAGATATTAATTGTGTCCTGCTTAAGCCAGGTCTCAGTAAGAATAATGCAGGAGAAGGGTGTCTTTAGCGACTCAAGGAGTGCTAGGAGGTCATCATAGTATTTGCTTAAGGACCTGATGTTGTAGTTAAGAACTGATAGACTTTGAGCAGTGTTCAGGATAGTGCTGGCTTGTGATGCTGTGTAATAAAGGCAGTTACTTTCCAATAAGTTTTGATTGTGTGTTAGATTATGGAGGTTTAGGTCAGGGTCAACGTGATCAATCATCTTTTAGGTTTAAATAGTGGTTGTTTATATCCTGTATTACGTGGTGAGTTCTAATACTGATTTCTGTAGTGGTGGGAGGTTTGGATAAGTATACCGCTAAAGCACTTTGGTCATATAGAGTATAGTCACTAATAAACATAATGAAGTTGATATTGTCTATGTGTTGCGCTAGAATGAGCTAAAGTACAACTAGGCATAAACATATAATATAAAAATACAAATTAGACTCCGAAGTCTCCTTAATTGCAGATGATGTGAAGTTGATGAGAAGAATTCACTCGATCGAGGACCAGGCAGAACTACAAAGGGATCTGGACAGGCTGCAGACCTAGTCCAGCAATTGGCTCCTGGAGTTTAACCCCACCAAGTGCAAAGTCATGAAGTTTGAGGAAGAGCAAAGAAGAACACAGACGGAGTACAGTCAAGGGAGACCAGAGACTACAAACCTTACTCAGGGAAAAATATCTTGGGGTCAATATAACACCAGGTACATCTCCTGAGGCGCACATCAACCAAATAACTGCTGCAACTTCCGGGCGCCTAGCAAACCTAAGAATAGTATTCTGACATTTTAATAAGGAATCGTACAGGACCCTGTACACCGTGTACGTTAGGCCCATATTGGAGTATGTAGCACCAATTTGGAACCCACGCCTAGCCAAGCATGTAAGGAAACTAGAGAAAGTGCAAAGATTTGCAACAAGACTAGTTCCGGAGCTAAGAGGTATGTGCTACGAGGAGAGGTTAAGGGAAATCGACCTGGCGACACTGGAGGAGATAGGGGGGATATAATAGCGATATATAAAATACTGAGAGGAATCGACAAGGTGGACAGAGACGGGATGTTCCAGAGATGGGACACAGCAACAAGGGATCACAGTTTGAAGCTGAAGGCTTAGATAAATCTCAGGGATGTTAGGAAGTGTTTCTTCTGTCACAGAGTTGTCAGGAAGTGGAATAGTCTGAGAAGTGATGTAGTGGAGGCAGGACCCATAGATAGCTTGAAGAAGAGGTATATAAAGTTCATGGAGCATGAAGTGTGTGTGATATGTGATATATATATATATATATAATATATATAATATTATATATATATATATATATATATATATAATATATATATATATATATATATATTTTATATACTAGTAGCGGCTAGTGAAGAGGCGGGGCCAGGAGCTGTGAATCGACCCTTGCAACCACAACTAGGTGAGTACACACACATGCGCACTCGTGGGACATACACATGCATACAAAGCACACATACATATACACTGCAGCAAGACACACACACGAACATCTGCATGACAGAAGCATAAACATGTTTAAACATGTGTAACTCACACTAATATATATATATACACAAACTTCATACACACTTATCATCAATATGTTTAATAATATAAGACGATTTTTACAAGCACATTAATACGAGAAATTCAGGGAATAGGAACAAGCTAGACTTTAACAGGAATAATTGAGAAGGTTCCCATGACTAAGGAAATTACCATAATATGGTGGACAGGTGTTACCATAAAATAACATCTGTCAGCGTGTAGGTAACTGACTCAGAGAACTGACGAGGTGATAAAATAGAAACATGTCCAACACTTGGGAATCATTATTGAGGAAACGTTTCGCCACACAGTGGATTTATCAGTCTAATACAAAGATTGGTGAAGATCAGAAGGACTTTGAGGTAACTAGTCCCTCAGCCTGGAGTTGATGTAATCAGTAAATCAATCAGGATTGATGGACTGATTACCTGAAAAACTCCTTCTGATGTTCACCAGTCTTCTTTGTATTGGACTGATGAAGCCACTGTGTGGAGAAACGTTTCCACAACCCTCGTGTAGTTCAGTTAGTTGATAAGACACAAGAATATAAGCAAGGGAGATTGTCTATACCATTATCAAGGGAGATTGTCTATACCATTATCAAGGGAGATTGTCTATACCATTATCAAGGGAGATTGTCTATACCATTATCAAGGGAGATTGTCTATACCATTATCAAGGGAGATTGTTTATACCATTATCAAGAGAGATTGTCCATACCATTATCAGGGGAGATTGTCTGTACCATTATCAAGGGAGATTGTCTATACCATTATCAAGGGAGATTGTCTATACCATTATCAAGGGAGATTGTCTATACCATTATCAGGGGAGATTGTCTGTACCATTATCAAGGAAGATTGTCTATACCATTATCAAGGGAGATTGTTTATACCATTATCAAGAGAGATTGTCCATACCATTATCAGGGGAGATTGTCTGTACCATTATCAAGGGAGATTGTCTATACCATTATCAGGGGAGATTGTCCATACCATTATCAGGGGAGATTGTCTATACCATTATCAGGGGAGATTGTCTGTACCATTATCAAGGGATTGTCCCATACCATTATCAAGGGAGATTGTTATACCATTATCAAGGAGATTGTCCATACCATTATCAGGGAGATTGTCTGTACCATTATCAAGGGAGATTGTCTATACCATTATCAGGGGAGATTGTCCATACCATTATCAGGGGAGATTGTCTATACCATTATCAGGGGAGATTGTCTATACCATTATCAGGGGAGATTGTCTGTACCATTATCAAGGGAGATTGTCTGTACCATTATCAAGGGAGATTGTCTATACCATTATCAGGGGAGATTGTCTATACCATTATCAAGGGAGATTGTCCCGAACCATTATCAAAGGGAGATTGTCTTACCCTTATCAGGGAGATTGTCTATACCATTATCAGGGGAGATTGTCTATACCATTATCAAGGGAGATTGTCTGAACTATTATCAAGGGAGATTGTCTGTACCATTATCAAGGGACATTGTCTATACCATTATCAAGGGACATGTCCATGCATTAAACAAGGAGATTGTCTGGCCATTATCAAGGAGATTGCTATACCATTAATCAGAGAGATTGTCATACCATTATCAGGGAGATTGTCCTACCATTATCAAGGGGATTGTCTACCATTATCAAGGGAGATTGTCTATACCATATCAAGGGAGATTGTTTATACCATTATCAAGAGAGATTGTCCATACCAATATCAGGGGAGATTGTCTGTACCATTATCAAGGGAGATTGTCTATACCATTATCAGGAGAGATTGTCATACCATACAGGGGAGATTGTCATACCATTATCAGGGAGATTGTTATACCCTTAAACAGGGGAGATTGTCTGTACCATTATCAAGGAGATTGTCTGTACCATATCAAGGGAGATTGTCCATGCATATCAAGGAGATTGTCTGTGCCATTAAACAAGGAGAATTGTTATACCATTATCAGAGGAGATTGTCCATACCAAATATCAGGGGAGATGTCAACCATTATCAAGGGAGATTGTCTGTACCATTATCAAGGAGATTGTACTGTACATTATCAAGGGAGATTGTTATACCATTATCAAGGGAGATGTCCATACCATTATCAAGGAGATTGTCTGTACCATTATCAAGGGAGATTGTCGTACATATCAAGGGAGATTGTCTATACCATTATCAAGAGGAGTTGTCTATACCATATCAAGGGAGATTGTCTGTACCATTATCAAGGGAGATTGTCTGTACCATTATCAAGGGAGATTGTCTATACATTATCAAGGGAGATTGTCTAACATTATAAGGGAGATTGTCTATTACATTATCAATGGAGAATTGTCTATACATTACAAGGAGATTGTCTATACCATTATCAATGGAGATTGTCTATACCATTATCAAGGGAGATTGTCTATACCATTATCAAGGGAGATTGTCTATACCATTATCAAGGGAGATTGTCTATACCATTATCAAGGGAGATTGTCTATACCATTATCAGGGGAGATTGTCCATACCATTATCAGGGGACATTGTCTATACTATTATCAAGGGACATTGTCCATATCATTATCAAGGGACATTGTCCATACCATTATCAAGGGAGATTGTCCATACCATTATCAAGGGAGATTGTCCATACCATTATCAAGGAGATTGTCCATACCATTATCAAGGGAGATTGTCCATACCATTATCAAGGGAGATTGTCCATACCATTATCAAGGGAGATTGTCCATACCATTATCAAGGGAGATTGTCCATACCATTATCAAGGGAGATTGTCCATACCATTATCAAGGGAGATTGTCCATACCATTATCAGGGAGATTGTCCATACCATTATCAAGGGAGATTGTCCATACCATTATCAAGGGAGATTGTCCATACCATTATCAAGGGAGATTGTCCATACCATTATCAAGGGAGATTGTCCATACGATTATCAAGGGAGATTGTCCATACCATTATCAAGGAGATTGTCATACCATACAAGGGAGATTGTCCATACCATTATCAAGGGAGATTGTCCACACCATTATCAAGGGAGATTGTCCATACCATTATCAAGGGAGATTGTCCACACTATTATCAAGGGAGAACACAACTTCATACATACGAGTTCCAACACAGAAACGAGAGACACAGTTGTGACGGGAGAAAGGAAGACCACTGTAACACAGAAAGGAGAGACACAGTTGTGACGGAAGAAAGGAAGACCACTGTAACACAAACAAGGAAGACCACTGTAACACAAACAAGGAAGACCACTGTAACACAAACAAGGAAGACCACTGTAACACAAACAAGGAAGACCACTGTAACACAAAACAAGGAAGACCACTGTAACACAAACAAGGAAGACACTGTAACACAAACAAGGAAGACCACTGTAACAAAAAACAAGGAAGACCACTGTAACACAAACAAATGAGAAGACCACAAGGAACCCACAAAACAAGGAAGACCACTGTAACACAAACAAGGAAGACCACTGTAACACAAACAAGGAAGACCACTGTAACACAAACAAGGAAGACCACTGTAACACAAACAAGGAAGACAACTGTAACACAAACAAGGAAGACCATGTAACACAAACAGGAGACACTGTAACACAAACAAGGAAGACACTGTAACACAAACAAGGAAGACCACTGTAACAAACAAGGAAGACAACTGTAACACAAACAAGGAACACTAACTATTACCACTCCATCCTGAACAAGGAACACTAATATATAATGAACAACTAACTTGTGTTACCACGTCATGCGAATATACCAATAGTTCGGTAGACAGAAATATGACTACGCCTAAAGGAACATTGAACACAATATGGTGAAAGTAACATTACACAATGAACAAGGAATACCATGAAATGAACAAGAAACACCTTAAAATGAATAATGAACATCATAGGCCAATAAGGAACAATAAGATCCTTGAGATGCACAAAGAGAAGTAAGTTACATAACATAAACAAATAACCTGCGCACCTGGCCATAACTCAGACAGTGAAAGTATTACAGTCTCTCCTGCGAGGCCTCGCTCAACATCATTAATTCCTATGTATAAATTTAAGTTAAAATGGCTGAATCTCCTAAAAATATGTCTATTTGTTAATTTTGTGTCTAATACACTAAATACTCACATGTCTTTATCATCTTTGTTCTGATCTCTTTCTAGGATCACTAAGTACCGGGATCTTAGTGTGTATATACCAAGTAATTTATAACTGGAAGTGAAGTTTGGTGTTTTGTGTAATGGTCCGTGTCTGCGAGTCATGGTCGCTCTGCCCGCGTTGGGCTTTTTATAGTGTTTCAGCTGTGACCTTCTGGTCAGGATTCCCAGAGGATTATACAATGTCTAGGTCTGTTGTGTGTGTGTGTGTGTGTGTGTGTGTGTGTGTGTGTGTGTGTGTGTGTGTGTGTGTGTGTGTGTGGGGTGTGTGTGTGTGTGTGTGTGTGTATGTGTGTGTGTTGTGTGTGTATTTCACCTATTGGTACTCACCTATTTGTGGTTGCAGGGGTCGAGTCCTAGCTCCTGGCCCCGCCTCTTCACGGTTGCTACTAGGCCCTCTCTCTCCCCGCTCCATGAGCTTTATCAAACCTCGTTTTAAAAAAACTGTGTAGGGTTTTCCTGCCCCCATACGCATTTTCTGGCTATTCCATTTCCTTACAAACTCTATGACTGAAGAAATACTTCCTACTATCTCTCTGATCATTTGTGTCTTCAACTTCCAATTGTGGCCCCCTTGTTTCTGTGCCCCCCCCTGGAACATCCTGTCTTTGTCCCCTTGTCTATTCCACGCAGATTTTATATGTCGTTATCATGTCTCCCCCGACCCTCCTGTCTCCAGTGTCGTCAGGGCCCTTTCCCCCTTTAACTTTCTTCATAGGACATTCCCCCTTTGCTCTGGGAACTAACCTTGTCGCAAAACCTTTGTCTTCTTAGTTTCTTGGTCTTTATCGTTTCGGGTTCCAACGGTGCGCATACTCCAGTATGGGCCCGACATACCGGTGTTTTGTGTCTTGAATGTTCCTTTTGGTACGGGAAAGTGTTCTAGGTTTGCCGGCGCCCATATGCTGCAGCAGTTATCTGATTTATGTGTGCTTCCGGAGAATGCCCGGGGTTATTGTGATGGGGGATGGGTGTGTGTTGTGTGTGTGTGTGTGTGTTTTGTGGGGTTTTTGGGTGTGTGTGTGTGTGTGTGTGATGTGTGTGTGTGTTGTGCTCACCTATTTCTAGTTGAAGGGGTCGATTTATAGCTCCTGGCCCCGCCTCTTCACTGATCGCTACTAGGTCCACTCTCTCCCTGCTCCATGAGCTTCAGCGTACCTCTTCTTAAAGCTATGAATGGATCCTGCCTAGAAAACGTGAGGAAATTAAAACTACATCGGAGTATAAAACAAATTCCAATTACACAATAGAGCGATAAACTAATGTAAAAGATCTGGGAGTGATAATGTCAAAGGCTCTCACCTTCAAAGACAATAATATTGTATCAATCGCATCTGCTAGAAAAATGACAGAATGGACAATGAGAATCTTCAAAACTAGGGATGCCAGGCCCATGATGGCACTCTTCAGGGCCTTGTTCTATCTAGGCTGAATATTACTGCACACTAACAGCACCTTTCAAAGGTACAATGAACATCATCCCTTTGGTGTCTTAAGTACCACAGGTAATTGTCCCGAGGCCAAGATAGTAGGAAAAATATTTTACCAGAGACATTTTGTAGTTTGACTTTTTAGGTTTTTCCTAGGTAATTTATACTTACTTTACCATGTACTATGATTTGAGTAACATTATTTATATGTACCTGTACCTAAATAAACTTACGTACTTCAAAAAAAAAAAAAAAATATTAACTACGTTTAAAACAAACCAGGAGAGATATGTCAAACTGGATGGTGATTTAACGTTTAGATTAATTTTTCGTATCAATCTTTGATCACCTCTAAATATGCCATAATAACTTAATTTACAGGAATTTAATATTCTAGAAATAAAGCAACGTACATTATTATTATTAAAGATTAGCCGGTATTCTCCCGGCCCGGGCCTTTTCCAAGTGGTGGCCCGGCCTTGGCTCCCTCTTTAGGGAGTGTCTGAGACCTAAGTCTCCCATGGGAGGAGGCACAAGTACCTCCTCATCTTTGGGACCAACTGTCCCCAGGCCTAGCCACAAGCTAGGCCTCTCTGGTCTGCCATCCCCGCCCCAAGGGGGCAAATGGGAATGACAGTCTTATGAGCTAAAGCCTCGGGCTCAGGCACCTACCCTACCCTAGAAGGGCTGGGCATGGTGTCGATTGAAAATTGCTGATATTGAAGCAGATTTAAGGGGAAACAAAAGTATTTTATAGGTAAAAATGTTTGAATTTCTTTGTGAAGTATAAAAATATAGTTTATATGTAATAAACTTAATTTTAATAAGATTGATATAAAGTAACTTTTTACTAACAATAAATTATTAACTTTCGTTTTTTTTTACGTGGGAAAATAAAGACTAAAAGAAATATTATACTCCAATCTTTAATTTCTATTTTTTTGAAAAATAGAATAGTCAAGCCTTTATTTATATATTTACGTACTTCAAAAAAGGACACTTCAGTCCTTTAATATAAACATCACAGAAGTAAAACTAACTCATTAATAAGGACAATTATACAAAGATCAAATATAAATACGTGTATAATCAAGAAAGACTTATTGAATTATACCACCAGATAACCCAAACTAGTTATCTACTATGATATATTCTATATTGTCCCATGCAAGAAACTAAGTTTAATATTTAACAGCATCAGGAACAATAGTGTTTATGGCTGAGGGTCTGAACCCCTCAAGTAAGATTCCCTGGTGTTGGTGAGGGGCTCTTGATTTAGGGAATTGAATCTGTGCCCCAGTTCCCCAAATTAAGCCTGAATGCCTTCCACATCCCCCCCCAGGCGCTGTATAATCCTCAGGGTTTAGCGCTTTCCCCTTAATTCTAATAACAATAATGAAAGTCTGAACCTCCCGCCTGACACACTCACCATATACATCACACGAGGTCGGTCAGGTGACGTAGCCTCCGCTTATTTACCTGGTGCATAATTATAGGCAAACACACAAATAATATTATAATAACAATAAGGAGCAATATCATAGTATCAATGATACATGTGGCGTCAGATAATATAAAGTCGAAAAGCTTCACTTTAGCTACTAGTGAAGACGTTCTCTATATAATATTAAGTCAATCCTCGTAACTGGAACGTTTCTCAGATATAGTGTCGTGCTTGGGCATAATTCGCAATAATAATACAAGTGTAAAAACTGAATTTCTCTATAAAATTTAACCACAAATAGTTTAGTTTAATCTATCAAATTATATAAAAAAATATTGAATTTTAATTTGATTATACAATTTCTAAAAAAAATCTCTAAAATAGTTTAGTATGATTTATTGAATAAATCAGTAGACTTCCTAGTTTTGATATAAATCACTGGTTTTTAAAAATGGAGACAGACATGAAGCATTAAACTACAGACCAGTGTTACTGACATGTATGCAAAGTCATGGAGAAGATTATCAAAGGAGTGGTGGAACACCTAGAAAGGAATGATCTCGTCAACAGCAGCCAACATGGTTTCAGGGACGGGAAATCCTGTGACACAAACCTACTGGAGTTCTATGACATGGTGACAGCAGTAAGACAAGAGAGACAGGGGTGGGTGGATTGCATTTTCTTACATTCCACAGCTCCACACAAGAGATTAGTGTGGAAGCTGGAGGACCAAGCAGGGATAACAGGGAAGGCACTACAATGGATCAGGGAATACTTGTCAGGAAGACAACAGGAAGTCATGGTACGTGGTGAGGTGTCAGAGTGGGCGCCTGTAACGAGCGGGGTGCCACAGGGATCAGTTATAGGACCGGTACTTTTTCTGGTATTTGTGAACGACATGACGGAAGGAATAGACTCTGAAGTGTCCCTGTTTGCAGATGATGTGAAGTTGACGAGACGAATTCAGTCAGACGAGGATAAGGCAGAACTACAAAGGGATTTGGACGGGCTGCACGCCTGGTCCAGCACCTGGCCTCTGGAGTTCAATCCCACCAAGTGCAAAGTCATGAAGACTGGGGAAGGGCAAAGAAGACCACAGACGGAGTACAGTTTAGGAGGCCAGAGACTACAAACCTCACTCACTAGGAGAGGTTAAAGGATTTCGACCTGACGACACTGGAAGATAGGAGAGATAGGGGGATATGACAACGACATATAAAATACTGAGAGGTATAGACAAGGTGGATAGAGACAGGATGTTCTAGAGATGGGACACAACAACAAAGGGTTGAAGACTAAGGTAAATGACAGGGATGTTAGGAAGTGTTTCTTCTGTCACAGAGTTGTCAGGAAGTGGAATAGTCTGGGAAGTGATGTAGTGGAGGCAGGATCCATACACAGCTTTAAGAAGACCTATGATAAAGCTCCGGAGGGGGAAAAGAGTGACGAGTAGCGGTCAGTGAAGAGGGGGGGCCAGGAGCGTGATCGCCCCCTGCATCACAATAGGTGGTACACACACACACAACACAAACACCACAAAATTATATTTATATATAAAATATATATATATATATATTATATTTATATATATATATATATATAAAAATTTATATTTTTTTTTTTTTTTTTGTGTGGTGTGTGTGTGTGTGTTGTGTGTGTGCAAAAAAGGGTATAAAATACCACAATATGATATCTTTATTGTAGACGTTCCCCCTTTTGGGTTCAGGGACATCTACAAGACCTTCAGGGGGCCTACAATAACCCATCTTTTGGGTAGGCCCAATTTCCCACTGGGGAATCCCGCCCCCCCGTGACATCCCCTCGTTGCTGCCCTTCCTTACCCACTGACACTATATAACCGCCAGTCTCCTTCCCCTTTACCCCAGAGCCCAAATTCAAAAAAAATTGATAGAGTCCCCGCCAGCCGCCGTGGAGAAAAGACGTGTTTTTCCGCTCTTGGGTTTTCCCTGAGTAATTCTGATCAGGAACTTGAGCACTGTTACTCGAGATTTTTTTTGGGGTTTTACCCTGGTTTTTCTGACAGAGCTGAGAGGAAAAACTTGTTTGCAGTAAATTCCGACCATCCCATCAAGGGGTAAGGCGGTGACTTGTTTGCTTGTTCCCCCTTCTCCCCATCCCCCCCACCTTCCCCCACCCTCCCCTCACAAAAAAATCTACACTGTCCCCACACAAT